TCTCAGTGCCTTGGGAGGCTGAGACAGGAGGATCTCAAATTCAAGGCCAATTTCAGCAACTTAGGCCCAAAGCAGCTTACTGAGACCCTGTCTCAAAAATAAATAAATAAATAAATAAATAGGGTTGGGGATGTGGCTCAGTGGTTAAGCAGCTCTGGGTTCAATCCCTGGTACCAAAAAAAAGAAAAAAGAAAAGAAAGAAAGAAAGAAAAATAATAAAGAATATCATGATTATCTTTCTATAGCAACAGAGATAATTCTGCTTAGTGATTTTTTTTTCTTGTGATACTGGGGTTTGAACCCAGGGGCACTCTACCACTGAGCTATTTTCAAGTTGCTATTATCGTATAACATTCCCTAAAGTCTATTTGGACTCTGTATATTCTCTGGATCAGTTACACTCTGACATAACCTTAGACAGTTCTAGCTAGTCTTGGAAATTCTGAGTCTTAAGGACTTGGAAGTTTGGAGGCAATTTAGCCTGTCCTGGTGAGATGAATCACTTTTCTCCTAGACTTTCAACTCCTAAATGAGAAGAAAGAACCTGGTCTGGGTCAGTGGTGTCCACTTAAATTTCTCCTACAAGATCACCAGCCAATGAATTTTGACCCAAGAACTAATTTGATATTAGACTACAGGCTTCCTAGGAAGCACTCTAACTTGACATGTCCTTGGATTAAAATTGTGTTGACCAAGGATCCATAGACAGTGTCACTGTATCTGGAAACTCCAATAGAATGCTGATTTAGAGGAAACTGAAATTTTTCCTCTAAAGAAATTCATACCAAGAATATGCTAGTCTCATGCATGTTCCAGGCAGTGGCAGCTTCTGACCTGGCTCTACATGGTACCTAGAAGCCCTTTTGGAATACTGCTGTCAGCTTTCCTTTCTGCAGGTCGTGTCCAGCAATTTTGTCTCTTTGCCTTCTCTACCAGTTCTTCTCTTGACCCTCTTTGCAATAAAACCCAATCAAAGTTGCAGAACCATAAGGATTATAAATAATCCCTCAGACTCAGGTGGAAATTCACATTTGGGGGTCTCCTAATTTGGTAACGCCTCATTTCTTCCTTTTCATATTCCATCCCTACACTGAAAGCCTTTAATTGCAAGGAGGGGTTCTTCCCTAATATCTAATAAGCTAGCCACCTTCTGCACAGTGGTTAGGGGAGTGCTGTAGTCTGAATATTTGTGGTCCTCCCTACATACCAAAAATTTATATGTTGAATCCTAATACCCATGTGATGATGTTAGGAGGTGGGGTGTTGGAGGTGATCAGGTCATGAGGGTGGAGCTCTAGTGAGTAGGATTAGTTCCCTTATTAAAAAAAAAAAAAAGGCACAGAGAGCTGCTGTGCCCCCCTTCCATCACATGAGGACAAAACAAGAAGGTACTATGTTGTTGGTACTGGGGAATGAACCCAGGGGTGCTTAACCACTGAGCCACATCCCCAATCCTTTTTATTTTTTATTTTGACACAGGGTGGTTTACTGAGGCACATCCCCAGTCCTCCCTCCCTCCCTTTTTTTTTTTTTTTGGTATTTTATTTAGACAAGGATCTCTTTTGAGTTGCTTAGTGCCTCACCAAATTGCTGAGGTTGGCCTCGAACTTGTGATGTTCCTGCCTCAGGTCCTGAGATGCTGGAATTACAGACAGGCACAGTCCTGTCTGTAATTTTTTTTTTTTTTTAATGAGAAAGTAGGTCCTCACTAAACAATTTGATCTTGGACTTTCCAGCTTCCAGAACTATAAGGAATAATTAGTATTGTTTAGTAATTATTTGCTAAGTCACCCACTTTGTGGTGTTTTATTGTAGTATCCCAAACTAAGATAGAGAGAGACATATTCTTGGACAGAGTTGTACCTCCAATCTAATGAAAACCAAAATTTCTCCACGAAGTTTCATCAATCACTTAAGGAGTTTACCCCTTTGAAATAATTCCTTCTGTAGACTAAAATTTTGACCCATTCAGGTCTCCTATTTGCAAGGATTTCTTTGAATTATGTGGACAATTTGAGTGTGAGCTAAAATCCTAGTACAGCATGGATTGGCTGAGAATTTTCAGTTTCCTCTAAATCAGCATTCTATTGGAGTTTCCAGATACAGTGATACTGTCTATGGATCCTTGGTCAACACAATTTTAATCCAAGGACATGGCAAGTTAGAGTGCTTCCTAGGAAGCCTGTAGTCTAATATCAAATTAGTTCTTGGGTCAAAATTTCCGATTGTTTGTAAGGTTCAAATTGAACCCAGCATATAAAGGAAGCATAAGAGGATATAGCAGATGAGGTGCTTGAGTGGGAGTTTGGAAATCCCTTGCTAGAACTATGATCTTGGTTCATAGAGCTATGATCAATTCCCCTTCTTAGTTTCAATTTCTTCCCCTGTGAAATGGGGAAGTTGGACTACGCAGTCTCAGTTCTTTTCAGCTTTAAAACCAAAATTTTTATGATCTGTTTCCATTCCATCATCCATAAGATTGAGACAATACATGCTCACCTACAATGGGTGGATGACTGAATTTTCCTGAACAACAATGAAATGCTTCAAAATTGTGACCACCCCAAAATTATGTTGTGGTAATGAATCAAACTTCCACAGTTCCTAGAGGCCTCCAAATAGTTTCTTTTTCTTTCTTTTCTTTTTTTTTTTGCAGTGTTACGATTGAACCCAGGGCCTTGTACTTGCTAAGCAAGGACTTTACCACTGACGTGTATCTCAGTCCTTTTTAATTTTTTAATTTTGAGACAGGGTCTTGCTAAATTGCACAAGCTGACTTTGAATTTGCAATCCTCTTGTCTCAGCCTCCCAAACAGCTGGGATTATAGTTATGTACCCCTACACTTAGCCCAAGAATAGTTTCTTTTAAATGCTAATAACTATAAATGTTTATAGTATGAATTTATAAGTTTTATTTATTAATATATGCTGTTAAAGGTGTCTGTTTCCCACAAGATAGTCATATGCGGGGGTGGAAGGCTAAAGACAGAAAGGGCATACATTTCATACTTTAATAGATGAACAGGAAGGGAAGGTATACGAAATAGAGGAGGGGGCAGGGGAAGAAGTAATCTCTGCTTTTGATTCACTTTCTAACCCACAGCCATCTCTTCATGTTTACCACATTACTAGTTATCAATCTTATAGAGCATTGTATTTATATATTGTTGCCTCATTTAATTGGAACAACAATCTATTTGGGTAGGCACTGTTATCAATAATTGGCAGAAAGAGAATTTAAGTCCCAAACGTGCATGACCTAGAACCTAAATTTTAATTTTTTAAAATTACCTTTTTTTTTGGTAGTGGGGATTACACCCAGTAGCATTTTACCACTGAGCTAAGTCACCAGCCCTTATTTATTTATTTTTGTGGTGCTGGGGATTGAACCCAGGGCCTTGTGCATGCAAGGCAAGCACTTTACCACCTGAGTTATATCCCCAGCTCTTATTTTTTTATTCTAAGATGGAGGTCTCACTAAGTTGCTTAGTGCCTCACTAAATTGCTGAGGTTGACCATGAATTTCTGATCCTCCTGCCTCAGCCTTCCAAATTGTTGGGATTACAGGTGTGAGCCGCCATATCCGAGTAGAACAAAGCTATTTTATTTTACTTATTTCATACTGAGATGGAAGAGGTAGAATGTATTCCCTTTCTTAAGCATCCTGGCACCCCAGACACTATTGGTCACTTCTCCCAGCCCTGTCTTTTGTTGACATTGTTAGAAACCATACTTCAGCTGGGTTCTAGTTTTTTTGCACTGTATTTTTGCAAAAGGCATATAAACTTTCTTGATTTCCCTTGCCATATTTGTATACTAAACAGAAAGCTACTTGAAGGCAGATCATTTCTTATTCATTCCTCTCCCGAAAACCCTGACATAGCAATATTTGCCAACAAGTGATGTTTTAAAAACACTTGTTAGCCAGTCATGGTGGCACACACCTGTAATTCCAGAGTCTCTGGAGCATCGCAAGTTCAAAGCCAGCCTCAGCAACTTAGTGAGGCCTGAAGCAATTTAGCCAGACGTCTCAAAATTAAAACAAAAACCAAAAAAACAAAAAACAGTGGCTCAGTGATTAAGCACCCTTGGGTTCAATCCCTGATATCAAAAACCAAACCAAAACAAACCAAATCAAAAATAAAAAACCCCAAAATAAAACACAGAAGGGTTAGAAAGTCTCTAAACTTCTTTCTCATTCTTTGATCTTGAAATGGGATCTTGGTCACGTTAAGTGTACCATATACACTTGCCTTGGATTGTAACGACAAGTTTTTCCAAATTCTCATGACTTAAACCTGTATTTTTAAAGAGCTGGTTCTGACGGAGTGGGTGGCGTTGTCTGGACCTGCGACTGATGTTTGTATTGAGGCCTCTTTTATTTTCTGGAGACAAGATGCTGTTGCATAACAAACAGCACCGATAAAACCGTAGTAGTCATCTCAAGGGTGGCCGGGAACCAAGGATTTACGGCATCCTCCTTTTGGGAAAGCGGCTCTAGAAACAAGTCTTTCTAGAGCGAGGGATAGACCTCTGGCTGGGAAGGCCGGTCCCTGAGTGTGCACTTGATTATTTGACCTTGCCATAGTCGGTGCCCTGCCCGGAGTTCAAGTTTCCTCACCTGCAAAATGGTGGGGTAGTCGGAGACAAAGATACCCGAGCTCCTCCCCACAAGCCTGGGCGTTTACTCCGCCCCTTGAGGGTGGGGACGCGGCGAGGAGGAGGTTGGGCCTAGAGCCGACCCTCGCCTCCCGGCCAGCCCTTTCCTCCTTCCCCCTTCCCGCCCCCTCGCTCCGCCGCGGTGAGGTCACGCGGGAGACGTCACGGGGTTGTGACGCAACTGAGGGGTGGTCCTTCAGGAAAGGAAGGGGCGGGGCCTAAGGGGCGGCGCGTGCGCAGTGGGCGCGGCGCGGGAGGAGGCGGAGGCGGAGGCGGCGGAGAAGCGAGAGGCGGTAGCGGCGGAGGTGGCGGCGTTGGGGGGGGTGGGAGGGGGGGGGGGCCGGAGAGTGAGTGGTTGAGTGAGTTTACCCCTATGAGGCGGTGAGAGGCCCGGGGCCTACCTCAGAGGAGCGGGGTCGCGGCGCCGGCTAGCAACGGGCCCCCTCCCGGTTCCCGGGCCTGGCGGCGCGGCGGCGGCTCGGTAGTGAGGAGGCGGGGAAGCGGGTGTCCGGCCCCCGCCATGGAGGGCATGGACGTGGATCTGGACCCGGAGCTGATGCAGAAGTTCAGCTGTTTGGGCACCACCGACAAGGACGTGCTCATCTCCGAGTTCCAGCGGCTGCTTGGCTTCCAGCTCAACCCGGCCGGCTGCGCCTTCTTCCTGGACATGACCAACTGGTGAGCCGGCCCCGCCGCGCCATCGCTGGCAGCGGCCTCGGGGCCCCGAGGGAAGGGAAGGGACACTTGAGCCTGGCGGCAGGGCGGGCCGGGCGAGCAGTGAGGTGGACCTCTTTCTCCGGGCGGGGAGGGCGAGTCGGGGAGCCCCGGGGGGCATGGAGTGAAATTAGGGGGTGAGCGGAGCTAAAGGAGAGTTAGGGGCCACGGAGGCTGCGGGGAGGCCGAGGAGATGGCGCGGAGTGGGTTGTTCACTAGGTTCTGCGGAGAATTAGGGCCCGAGGAAGGTGGAAAAGGGAAAAAGGTTTGGCCATAGACGCATAAGTGGGTAGCCCTGGGAGGGAAGGCGTGTGGTGCTGGCTGAGAGTAAAAAGCACAGAAAATCTGGATCTGGAAAGTGGGATAAAAGATTGTAGTTGAAGTTAGGGGCTGAGGCCGAGAATTAGGGGGGAAACTCTAGGGAGGCTTGTTAAATATTGTGGACGAACCTGGGAGACGGAAGAGAGTTGGGAGTTAAGGAGTTGAGAACAGATAATTGTATGTGGGTCTGTCTCTATCCGAGGAGAGATAAGGGAAAAAATATTTTGGGGAAACAAATGATTTCGGTGAGAGAGATGACTTTCCGAAGAGTTGTGCCAGGGAAGAGTGGGATCTGCTAGTGAATCTACAAATAGAGGAGCCCCGAGTGTTAGACCTGGGACGGCACCTGGGCAGAACCTTAGGAAAAGTGGGAGAAAGGAGATGATCCTGGGAGAAGGAACTTTCTGAAGGAACTGGAGCCCTGCGCAAAGGGAATTTTGAGAAAGGCCTCCAGAATACGGAGAGTGGAGAAGAGCTTATTTGAAAGAAAGCGGGGTTGATAGACCTTTGAGAAAATGGAGAAGTTTAGTTAGGCTGGGAACCAAGTATTTTTGGCTTGTAGTTAGGTTGTAGAAGACTGAATTGGGGCAGAAGACTATCTCAGTAAAGGAGTGTTTCTTGGCTTTGGAAGCAGCACTTGCTATTTTTGATAAGAAAAGCTTCCCCCCTGTTCTGTGAGTAGGGGTTGTTGAGTTCACTCAGGGTGAGGGAGGGAGTGGACACAATTAGACTTCCTTTGAGAGGCTTTCAGGTGAAGCAACTAATCTTTCTTTGGGCCAAAAGCAATGGGGTGAGTGCCCTTTGCTCTTTGTGGGGCATTCAGTCTCCTGACATGTGGAATCTTGTTTCTCTTGGCATCACTTGCACAACCAAACTCCCCTTTATTTTCACTTCCAACGAATGCCTCAGTCAGTGCCAGAAAAGAGGGCTGAAGGGTGTTTTTTTTTATCCCACTCCTCACCTACTCTGGATGATGCTCATTTGTAAATGGGAGCCTTTCTAGCTGTGACCAAACCAAAGGTGATGTGTAAATTTTTGTTTTCTTGCAGCATCTTCAGTGGGTTCTGTTATTTTATCATTATTTAAAGCCAGCCATAGCAAGAGTGGGACTGAGTTTCTTTTTTTTTTTTAATTTTTTTTTTGTAGTTGGACACAATAACTTTATTTATTTTATGTGGTGCTGAGGATCGAACCCAGGGCCTTGCACATGTGAGGCGAGTGCTCTACCACTGAGCCACAACCCCAGCCCAGGGACTGAGTTTCTTGATGTTTAAAAAACTCTTTGAGGCTTCGAATGAATGCAGGAGATAGTCTTTAGAATTAAATAAATAAGCATTTGTCATCTCTATTTGTGTCTTTTATGCCCAGATGATCTCAGATAGGGAATGTAATTTACTATAGATTTCTGACATCCAACCTGTAAAGTTTAAGTAGAGAGTGTTAGGGTTATTGAACACACTGAGAAGAGCTATTACTCTGGTGAAATTTAGAAGTAAAATCGTACTTTCTTCCTTGTTATACTAGTTTAGTATAGAAATCTTGGCATACTGTAGCTACCTGTTGGGTAGGGGAGGATTGATCTATCTCCCCACCCCTTGGTGAACTGAACCATCTAAATGCTGCCCTAATAAGTTTTTAGTTCTTTAAAGTCAGTGTTTGTTAGTACAATTATTATAGCTACAAAACTAGTGTAATGAATTTTATGTGCTTGAGGTGTGTATATTTAATATATGATTGTTTTTAGGTGTTGTGAAAAGTGAGGAGATAGGTAAGGCGTGGTATGGATAAGAAAATAAAAACAGTTGGGCTGTAAAAATTCTGTTTGAGTCTTTAAATAAAAAAAGATTAAGCTCAAAGACTTGAAGTAGTATGTATATTGATGACATTTATCTCTGTGTAAACACAAGATACCTTTTTGAAGCGAGGTGTGAGCCATTAAAAAATGTTTTCTTAGTGTTATTTTTTTGGCATTGCTGGGTATCCAACCCAGGGCCTCAAGCATTCTATGCAGGTAATCTCTCTCACTGAGGTAAATTCTCTCATTCTGTGTTCCGATTTGAAAGCAGTTGGAAGTCAGTGGCCTTTTAGGAATCCAGGCAATGAAGAGATAATTCAACTTTGAGTCACATTACCTTAGTTTTTGGCTGTAGAAAGAATGTTCTTTATGAAATCAGGAAGGCTGTCTTTGTTTTCTTTCTTAGGAGAGCTTGTTAGCTCCATAATCCAGTATTATATTTTTTAAAAAAAATTTTTTGAATATTTTTTTAGAAGTAGTTGGACACAATCTCGTTATTTTGTTTATTTTTATGTGGTGCTGAGGATCGAACCCAAGGCCTCACATGTGCTAGACTAGTGCTCTACAGCTGAGCCACAATCCCAGCCCCAGTATTATACTTTTATTCCTGTGTTGACTTTTGTAAATTCATCTTGACAGATTTGTTTAAACAAACACCATTATAATTAATAAAATCTAGTGAAATACAGATATGCATGCATACTTGATCAAAATATGTGTATGTGCTACCGAAGTAAATATCTGGAGTCTAGAATTGTGTTGCTTGAATGCGTCATATAATATGTCTAATAACTGTCCAGATAGCCCTAATACAGGTTGGGAAGAATCACTCAGCTTGCTGTGCTGTAGTGGTTACCTGTTGAATTGGTGAAGATTAACTTCCCTGTGACTTTATAAATGCTGGTTTTTGGGTTATAATAAATAATTATTCACTTGTCTGATCACTGTTAAAGATCATTTTTTAAATTACTTTTTATTTTTATTTTTTTTTTAGTTGTAGATGGACACAATACCATACCTTTGCTTGTTTATTTATTTTTATGTGGTGCTGAGGATTGAACCCAGTGCCTCACTTGTATCAGGCAAACATGCTACCACTGAGTTACAACCCCAGTCCAAGATCATTGTTTTAAAATGAACAGGAGTCTTCCAAAATGGAGCTCAGATTTGAAAGATTATGCTCTTTTTTCCCCAAGAGTAAAAATTATTTTTTTGTCATTTTTGAAAAAATTGAATGCTTTGGATCTGAAAATTATCTTCCCTGTTAACACAAAAATTATTGGCTAAGGTTGACAAAGTCGTGTAGGTATTTCTATTTGTTTAATTTAGAACCAAGTATTCTTTTCATTTGTAGTGTTTATATTTTGAGGCCAGTGATATTGCTGGAAGTGGTGGAACTGTTTCATAACAGAGATGGTCAATTTTCAGTTCCCGAGGGAGTACATGTGTGGGGCAGACTAACTGTGATATATAAAAGCCAAACTGAAATGACTTGTAGATTAGTATAACTTTTTTTTAACATATATTTTTTAGTTGTTGATAGACCTTTATTTATGTATATGTGGTGCTGAGAATCGAGCCCAGTGCCTCACACATGCCAAGCAAGTGCACTACCCCTGAGCCCCAGCCGCAGCCCCTAGTATAACTTTTTATAGGTAAAATTTCTTGCAGACACTGTGGGCTTGGCATAAAGAACCCGGAATTCTAAAACTGGAAGCCGGCTTTGGAGACTCTCTATAGTTTATTCGAATTTTTTTAAAATATTTTTTTAGATGTTGATGAAACTCTATTTTATTCATTATTTATATCCGGTGCTGAGAATTGAACCCAGGGCCTCACACATGCTAGGCAAGCGCTCTATCACTGAGCCACAACCCCAGCCCCTTGAATTTTTTAAAAGTATTTTATAGTTGTAGATGGACACAATACTTTTGTGTATTTTTTTATGTGGTGCTGAGAATCAAACCCAGTGCCTCACATGTGCTAGGCAAGTACTCTGCCACTGAGCCACAACCCCTACCCCAGTTTATTAGAATTTTTCCTACAAGTTGCATCTAACCCTTTCAAGGTAGTTATCCTATTGTATCACTAAGGGTATAGATCTGTGTGATATCTTATTATAGAATTTAATTACTTTTCTAGTTAGAATTATGTCAGAACTAAATCTCCTTTGCTGCAGTTTTTTTTTTTTTTTCATTTGCCTATGTCCTTCTTGGATATGGAAAATATCAATAAACACCTTCCTTAAAGCTTTTAATTCATATCACTAAAAGTTTTCAACTACTTAAAATTTAAATATGTTCAGTTTAGGGGCTGGAGTTGTGGTTCAGTGGTAGAATGCTTGCCTAGCACTGAGTTCCATCCTTAGCACCACATATAAATAAAGTATCGTGTCCATCTCCAGCTAAAAGTATTTTTTAAAAAATGTTCAATTTAATGGATTCATGTTCTTTAATGTAGTCGAATTGGCTTGTGTGTGTGTGTGTGTGTGTGTGTGTGTGTGTGTTTTCAGGGGAAATCAGGATTTGGAGGCAAATTTCAAATGATTTTAAAAATTTGTAAAATATACATAACAAAATTTTACCATTACAGGCAATTTTAAATTGCAGTTCCATGTCACATAAAATTTTAAACTCACTTCTGGCCCTCAAAGGCATTTGTCTCTATTGTGTATGTGTTCAAATTAAGTCGGTCCTTCTCATTGTAGGGGCAAATGATACTTCTAGATTTTTAGAGGATATTAGTGAGGAGTTAGTATTGAACTTCTTTCTTTCTTTCTTTAGTGGAATACATTACAATTCTTATTACATACAGAGAGCATGATTTTTCATATCTCTGGTTGTATACA